AACAGGAAGAGTGTATTATTGATGAGAATTTATAATGTTGGGCTTTTACTAATGAAATAGAAGAGGATGAACTAAAGTATTCATTTATTTCAAACATCAGCATAGATGGGGAATGGTGGCTAAATATGAAGAATAGCAGGGTTGTTAATGGAGTACTCCAAATTTAATAAAACATATAAACCACACAGTTTTTAACTGAAGTAGTTTATATGTTTTATTATCCCTTAAACTGTTTTGCAAGAAAATTTGCATGCAAATTTTTGATCAAAATTGTTTTTACTAGAACAATTTGCGTAAATCACTATGTCAACCTCAGTAATATTAATACTGGGCATACTACTTGCGTAGAGCTTTTAGCTGATACTACTTTTAACCATTTGAATGACGTTTTTCTTTTATCTTTTCTGTAGTTTTGTGAAATAGCCTCCGCAAAAGCCAAGTTTATACTTCACTCGAGATGCTCTTGAGTGTGCCAATTTATTGAAATTCCACTGGTTTAAAATTCTAATATCTGACAAATTCTAAACAGCACATCCATAACTTGATTAGATCATTTAAATACATGACTTTAACGGGGGTGAATATGTGCAATTATCGGATAAATTTTTGTAGGCAAATTTGCCTGGAGCAGCTTATGGTTTAAGAGATAGTTGGAGTATTCTATTAACAACTCTACGAAATGGAATTGGAGTTAAAAAAAGTAATCATAAGGCATTAACTTATCAAAAATCAGCAGAAGAGAGCAGGGGTGGGATCTGACTTTTATATCGACATTGTGAATCTTTAGAGTTTTATAGATCCAATTTTCACTACAAAGATACTTATCGTTGCATTTAGCGACAAAGATTTTTTGCAAATTCAGTAGGTAACTACTTCTATAACAATTTTGGAATAGCATACTTATTCATAGAATTAATAGTTATTATTATTTGTTTTTATTTAAAATATATATTGGTTTAACAAATAACAATTTTTTTTATCAAATCTTGGTACAATATATGCTTCTTGAATAATGGATCCAATAGGGATAATATTATATTCTTCAGAATAATATAACTGTGGACAGCCATAAAGCTCTGGTTCCTTTGAAAGAGTGTTATACCAACGAACTAGTGCAAGCTCATACGGTTCTCTTGATAAACCTCGAAAGAATTTCAAAAGAAGCAAGACCTATAGAAAAATACAACTTGCTTAAATACTGGAGAAATAAATTTCTTTTGAAGGTAATTAGAATTATTTACCTTTCCATACTATACACCATCAACTGATTTATTCTGGTCTTTTGCAGGAGTAATTGAAACATTACTAAACCACTCTTTGCCCTGGAAATCCCCTGAAGTTCGCAGAATTTCACCATTGCTTAGATGTACGGTCTCATAAACTATAATGCAGAAGTCGTCACTTTCGGAATCTTGCGAAGAAGTATCCAGAAAGGTATCCAATGCAAAAATTATTTGTGACAAGCCTTCAATTAATTTAATGTGTGATGGATTTTTTGACTTTCTCAAAAGAATTACTTTTGACTCAATTTCGTTTAGGTTTAGGTTCCAAAGAATCTTCCCAAACTCCTCAGCCTTTCTATGAATTATTTTACTGGTTGTTGACACTATTTCTTTGCGTTTCATCTGCAAGAAATTTTTTTGATTTTTTTTTTTAAAAAAAAGATTTTTTTTTTTTGATTTTTTTAATCTATTAAAGTTTGTGACTAACCGCCTTTATTAACTGCTGTATTATATTTTTTTGATTTGAAGATCGATACGGGTTTTTAACATATATTTTATGAAGCGTTTCATAAGTTTCTGTAGATAGACCATTCAACGAGCCATAGTTGTGAATTGCAGTAACTGAATATAACAAGAAGCATTTGAAGGATCATTTATTTTTATTTGTAAGTAGATAAAATTAGATTACAGTAGAAGTTTAAAAAATACCAGCATGATATCTCTAACTGTGAAATTTAGGATAA